ACCTTGATTTTGGACTCCTAGCCTCCAGAACTGTGAAAGAACAAATGTCTGCTGTTTCAAGACACCCGGTTTGTGGTGTTTTTGTTACAGCCCTCGTAGGAAACTTATACACACTCTATGTGCTGATCACACTGAACACCCTTCTTTTTCAGAGTTTTACCCACATTATTCTCAGCTCGGAATGTCACCCACACCTTCCCCAACCCCACTCCTCTGCCTGGCAAATTTAAGACTTGTCTCACCTTGGTCTCACCTTGGCCGAAACCTTTTCTGCTTTTCCTTTTTGCCTCAGGAAGTTGGCACATGGACACTCGCCCCATTGTACACTGGACGTAACACCTTGTATCACAATTCCCAACTCTACCTTAATGTACTCTGAGATTTTTGAGATCCAATCTTACTCATTTTTGTGTGCTCAGTGCCATGTGACAGTAAGAACGCACTGTCTGCTGAGTAATGAAATCTTAGTCAGTGTATCCTCTAGGAGGTGCATGACATGCTGGACACACTCTAGAATGACTCTGGGGTTAGGCAGACCAGGTCTGGTTTAAAATCCAGCTCCACCATTTACCTGCTGCTGGGTAATCTTAGGCAAGTTCCATAACCTCTCTGAGCCTCCATATACTCATCTATGAGAGGGGGACAGTAATTTCTTCCTGGTGGGTTATGAGAAATTGATGTGGTGTCATGAGTGACTGCACCTACACACTTAGTAGGCATTTAGTAAATGTATACCTTTTCTTTTTTTGAATATACAATCACCATTTTTGTGGAACATATATTACAAAAGATAGTGTAAATAACCAGAAATAAAAGGCCAATTATAATAAAATGTATTTTCAAAAAATGAGACATAATTAATAGATTACTGACAAGATCATACAGAGAAACTTTGAATTTGCATTAAAATCACAATGGTGTTATTTTGATCAGAGAGCTCTGAGAACCTTGACTTGTTTGTTTACTGGGGATAATTTTGGGCAACACTGAAAGTGGAAAGAAAAGAAAAAAACAGAGGAAGGAGAAAAAAAACAGAAATGAAGACCAGTGGGACATAATCTGTTTGCTGACAAGGCTCCATCAACATGGCTCTCTAATGACTCTTTTTTTTTCTCTAGGAAGAGAAGCTAATTTAAGCCATAATTGTTTTGTCCCTTGTATCCTTCTGAACAAAAATGAGCATTGAGGAAAAAGCCACACTGTGGTTCAACCCCAGAGCGCTAGGCTCACTACGTGCCCTGACAGTCCCCAAGAGGCCCAGCCATCACAGGTGTGTGGACATGAACAAAGGTAGTGGAGTTCTGTCAAGATATCTAATCCCACACGAAGGCCCTACCCCGCTGCTACAGATGGGCTCCAAGTGGAGACTTATTGTTTTCCTGGTAAACACACAAATCAAAAGGCAGCACAACAAACATCAACTCGTCCCTTCTGAGGTCTTGTACACCACTTTCATCTGTTATCAACATCTCCACATCTAGCAATTGCTCAAAAATAAGGTTTGTTTTCTTAAATGTTGTAACTTGTCAATCATAAAGGATGATCCTGAGACCATTAAACTGGGCTCCATTAGAACTGGCACACTTTTATAGAAAAGAACAGCACCATCACAAAGCTTATAAATGGGGCTCAGGACGAGCGTAACAGTCCTTCATCTTCAAGTTCAGATCTCTGAAGCAGAAGCAAACAGGGTTACAAACAGTATCTGATCCTAGGAGTAGAGTGTAGGAGCTAAGACTTGCCAGTTTAACTCTTAACTTTGCCACTTTCTAGCTACTGCCTCAATTTCCTCATCTATCACATGAGGATAATAACAGTACTAGTACCTTCTTCAAAGGTTGCGATAGTGATGTACTGAGAAGACACTGTACAATACTTAGGACAGTGCCCAGCACATAGTAAGCCCTCAATTAGTGTATGCTATTATTATAACTGGCCATTCCAGGTGTCTGCAAAAAGGCATAGCCCTAGCTGCAAAGAAACACCTGGGGTAAATCATTCTTTTTCTCACTCTTTTTCTGGGAACAATATAAGATTTAAGCAATAAGTTGTCAACTAAAACAAAGCCATTCAGAGGATGAATTATTCTGGGCTTGCGTTGCCCGGGGTGAGCCTAAAATGTTCCCTTGTGCCCAAAGGTTATTACAAAACATCTATCAGGTTCTTACTGAGTACCCTCTGAGTTACAAGGAATGCCAAATCTCCAATCCACCTACCTGCAACCTTGGAATCTTCTCAACTCCACCCTCCAGGCAGCCACCACCCATCAATCAGTTGAGGTTGTCAGGGATAAAATAAAACCTATTTATTATGCCCCGAATGAGACAGCCCAGCTTGCCAGGAAGGAATGCAATCCCTTTTGTAATGGTGGAACTGAGTGATGGGTAGAGGAGATGACAACCTCTGCCGAGGTAGACAAATGTCATTACACCAGAACTTTACTTCTATATATAGTCTCAGAGGGAAAAGTGTGGGAGAAGAACACATGATTTCAGTCAAAGTATATCTAAAATGGTTGAATTAAGGAAGTAGGTAAGAGAGGTTGTATATTAATTCTTCCAGAGTACAACTCTTTACGAAGCATTGACTCATTTCACAGTCGACTAGGAGCCCAAAGCACAGCTTTCCAATGGGTATGACGGGAATGGACTAAAGTCTGCAAGAGGTCAGTTCGTGGGGTGGCTGGAGGTAGGGTACCTAGGGTGGTATTATCCCAGGCCAAGAGTGGGCTCCTCCACATGCATCCATTTATTGTGCAAATAGTATCATTTTCTATGGATGCCATGGCTTGGAAAAGTTTGTGAATCACTGGTTCTTAAACCAGAAATCAACACATTTGTAACCATGGCAAAGCTTAAGCACTGGATGGCTTATTTATACTTCCTGATCACGGCTACTGATACTGGTATGGTCTAGAAAAAGCAAATACACATTCTTGATCTGAGAGCTCGATCCAGCAAGCAAAACTCTGTTAATGATTAACTTTCTCTGTTTGCAAGGGACAGAGATGCACTCAAAGTGGCACAAGTAGTGAGGGCTTTCTGCAAGGCCCACTGAGGAAGGCAGGCATCTCATGGGAATTACAGACTCGGCCTATTCAGGGACAGGGTATGGAAGCCAGCAGCTTGCGAGACCTCAGCCACAGAGACCTGCTGGGTCTTCATGCTGATATCCTACTATTGACATGTCTTGGCTCCACTCTCTGTGCTTCTCTTTGGGGGAAATGTCTTGCATTTTCTCCCAGGTGGCTACCAGTTGGCTTTTGCACCCTCTCATTTCTGTCTTTTCCACTACTTATTTGTTCCTGCTTATTTCTATATTCTGAGGTGTCATAATTTCAGCCTTCTCATAATTCCTCATGGTCCCTACTTCTACCTGATGTTCAGTCTCAATCCCCATCTCCCTCGCTCTCTCCTGTCCTCTCTGCATCTTTCTGTGTCAGTTCCTACTGCTAACTCACTATCTCTATCCACATTTTCTAATATGCATTCTTGAGAATAAGACTCTGGATGGCCCTGTAAGTCCCTGTTTGGGCAGAACCTCAGGCCTCCTCCAAGGCCACTCACCTACCTATGGTTTGATTGATCTAGGGTCAAATGCCCCCTGGCTGAAAGGGGCTATAGTCACAGAATTCAAACTATGTCCCTTCAACAGAGCTGTGATGGGTAGGACACTTATCCTTTAAAGATCTCTAGGTAGGGAAGACACAATATATCTAGAACAAGCCTCCTCAAGAGAACAAGATTTTATATTTTCACTTGTCAAAGAGAGCATTTAAAATTATTTGTTGTCTCATAAAGAAATTCTTTTTGTAATTTTCTCTTTCCCTTCTCTCTTTTATTTTTCCCATCCATCCATCCATTTATCCATCCATCCATCCATCCATCCATCCATCCATCCATCCATCCACCAAATATGAATCTCTCTGTCTTTAAAAGAAATATAAGGTCTCCAGTGACCATAATGGTCCTTGAGGACTACAAACCTCTTAGGGGAGATAAGTTGTATACGCATGTTATTATAAATGCCCAAAGAATGATATAAACCAAATGCTATGAAAGTTCAAAGAAGAAAGACATCTTCTGACTGGAGCAGATGACATTTCAGCCGGGCCCTGAAAGATGGGGAAGATTCTGATATTCATCCCAGACTAAAGGAACAACAACATGAGCCTAACTCTCAAGTAGTGGAGTAATGTCAAAATTCAGACTTTGGTATTTTAAGTTCTAGAAAAAAATACATAATCATTGTAAAAATTTCAGATCACACTAAAAATCTGTAGTGTAAAATGTTTGCCTCTTGTCACTGTTCACTTACTCATCTATGAATTCTCCTCTCCGAAGTAACTGCCATTCACTGTTCACTGTGAATTTCTCCAGACTCTCTTCTACACTATTAAATTAAAGCTTTATAATTATTTGGCCAGGAAGATACTATTAAACCCATTTTACAAAGAAGTGGGTTAAGTAACTTCTTTGCCTTAAGTAATTCTTTCAGTGAATATCCCATCACACCTTGTTATTATGGGGCTGCTGGCTTGAACTTACATAGAACTCAATTCAGCCTTATATTTAGCTCTTGATTATAGGGGGTCACTTTGACCAGAGCTGGAAGAAATCCAGAGGTGGGTACTCAGACATTAGCCTGATGAAAAGATCCCACTCATAACATAAAGTCCTATATATACTGAGATGGGTATTCAGGTCTCACCAGACCTTTTGATGTACTATAAGCTTTATTTTCGTCTCCAGCAGAAGGTGAATTTTACTCTCATAATGGAATACTGATAAAATTATTAGAAGTTTAAGAGAAATCAGACGTGTCTCTCCTCTACAATATTATTTTTTAAATAAACCAAATGAATTACTTATCTAACAGAACATAACAGACAACTGAATTTACTCAAGCTTCTTCCTTTCGAATCCAAAGTCGGATTTCCAAAGGAACGTATCACAAAGCATAGGAGGGGAACTCAAGTTATATGGATGTAGAATACTTACCCCAGACGGCCATGAAAACAGCAAAGAAGACAGTGGCTCCATTGTCAAAAAGGTGGGTGACCTGGGAACATTATTGAGTCACAGTTAAACTAACTTCTTATATACTATATTCCAATTCATATATTTTTCCAAGTTATGTAAAAATAGCTGCAATGGTATAAAGTTTGCAGGGTTTCTTTGTAAAATATTTCTTTTAGATAATGATCAAGAGGGATTTCCTCTAACTGTGAGGTAGTTTGGATATGAAAGAATCTGTTCTCTTTATTGGGTATTATCTAGTTGAACATTTACCAACAGCCCAATAGTGCTACTAAGAATTTCCTTTCATGCACTATAAAAATGATTATATGTTAATATATACATATATATCATACATCATATATTAAATATATATTTAAGACCAGGAAGGTATTATTTTTGCTACTTTAAAGGTCTCTGATCTCCCAAGCACTGTTTTTAATGCCTCATTTACTCACTTTGAAAACATGGCTATTTTGTTTGTGTTTTGTGAGCAAACATTTTCTGGGCTGCCCTTTGGGTTTCAGCATTATAAAGAGGAGTGAGCAGACCATTAAGAAAGTCTACTTCCACCTATATTGAAGCCTCGGGTAATCACTATATTTACCTATTACACAGAACACAAAGATAGCTAGCAAATAGTTCACTGTTGGAGTAATATATTCTATCATAAACAGCACAGCAGAAAGCAAAAATATTCTTGCTGCAAAACTGCCAAACTCATTCCCCCTTCAGGATAAATCACACCAGTATCATGCCAAGTTGAAATAATGACTGATATGTTCATAAAGCATAACTTTTTTTTGGTGCTTTAGAGCTCTCTACAAAATATACTTTACTGTCCCTTGGAGAATGTGCCAAGTGCAAACAGGTCTCTTCCTGTTATATCCGAGTATGAAGTATTTCAACATTTTTCAAAAGTTTATTCTCTCTCTCTCTCTCTGGAACATAGGAGAGATGGGAAACACTCAAACATCTAATATGAGACAAAAGTCTAAAGCTGATTTATTTCAGATGCCAGAGGGAGCGTTACGCTGTATACTGGGCACTCAGCATCAAACCAAGCCTGAGAGTTCGAGAGGCACGTGGTTGGTGTACACTCTCTATTAGGGTGTTTACTGGGAGTGGGTAGAAGTTGTCGCCTGAACCATCAGTGTCGATTCTGGAATGGATTGTGGTGGTCATTATGTTGGGCTGCTCAGATCATCTTTCCTTCCTTCTCCCTTCTCCAGGTAACAGCTCTCTCATGTAGGTCGCCACGAGGCAGATGGCGCAAATAGAACCAGAGTCCTTTTCTGGGACTGGCATGCAAACATGTGGAGAGAGGCATTTTTCTGCTGCAGTTACCAATTTGGGAATATGTGAATCAGGAGGAGTGAGTTAATAGACTTCGGTTCCTACTAAGATGGTAAGCTAGCATAGGCTGATGGCTCCCTTTGCCAAAACCAACCCTGGAGAAGCAAGACAGTAGATTCCAGGAACTAACAAAACACAAAAACAAACAAACAAAGACCCTGAGAATTTTAGGGGAGAGGGAAGGTTGCCTTGAACTGGTGTGTGTGTGTGTGTGTGTGTGTGTGTGTGTGTGTGTGTGTGTGTGTG